GAGCAAGATATAAACAAATCACAGAGATTCAATGAGGGAGAAATGACTTCCAGGATCAAAACATGTACTTATATCACACACATGCTTGCACTGAACAAATATGACAAAGAGCTTTGGCAAACTCTGCTTTCCATAAACTCTGCTGAAAGCCATTATCAATACTTCCTCACCTCCTTCATCTTATCCTGTAAACATCTGCTTTTTTTTTTTTTTTTGAGACAGAGTTGCCCTGGCTAGAGTGAGTGCCGTGGCGTTAGCCTAGCTCACAGCAACTTCAAACTCCTGGGCTCAAGCGATCCTACTGCCTTAGCCTCCCGAGTAGCTGGGACTACAGGCATGCGCCACCATGCCTGGCTAATTTTTTTTTTTCTATATATTTTTAGTTATCCAGCTAATTTCTTTCAATTTTTTTTTTTTTTTTTTTTTTTTTTTTTTTTTAAGTAGAGACGGGGTCTCGCTCTTGCTCAGGCTGGTCTTGAACTCCTGAGCTCAAACAATCCGCCCGCCTCGGCCTCCCAGAGTGCTAGAATTACAGGCGTGAGCCACCGCACCCGGCCAAACATCTGCTTCTTTAAAAAGAAATTGCATACTAACTCTCCAACTAGATGTTAAAAATCATGACTTTCCTTTCAGGGGAGGAAGGATGGGAAAAAACATGCCTTCTGTGATTTTCACCAAAAAATTCCAATTTTAATTAAAACCATATATTTAGCATGGGTAAAGGTAACAAATGGGGATTTCTTGGACCAAACCATGCTCCTCCGTGAATTCAGATTAGCAATGCTGTGTTACTGCCTGACTTTTGAACATTCTGTTCTATTTGAAACAGCTGGGAGAGCAAGGAAGGCTATGTCCTGCAGAAACCCAATTAGGCCTAATGAAAGAGAGGCCATGAAATGCTTCTGTTGTCTACCAAGACAGAGAAAATGTGTTCGATTCAGCTTTGAATTGAATTCTAAATATAAATTTTCAGATCAGGCTTTGTCCAGTTAGCTTGGTCGACTTAATATAATATTACATTATGCTCTCACAACTGTGGACGTTTGTCCTGTTCAAAATCTTGACAGGTTTCTAGAAATCTGACCATTTTTGTCTTGGTGATTGCCATGGGAATAAACAACAGAAGATCAGCTCTAGCCTTGGACTGACTGAAAAAGAGTCTGACTTGCTGACTTCCTGCTAACCCTTGCCTCCACCAGCAGTGTGGTTATGTTGGATGTTGCCCTGCCTTCTTACAACAGCAAAAACATGAGAGAAGCCAGTTGCCAACATGGTTCTGCTATGCCAACAGTTATTTGTCTGTCAACAGTAATACAGTCAGAGTTCTATAACTGAAATGCTAATAGAGATCCTCTTCCAAACTGAGACGTGGATAAAACACTTCCCTGTACCTTGTCATCACAAACCTCTTTTCAAAAGATTCTTGAGCAATGTTCTTTCCATTGAACACCTAATGTGGTTTATTGGGACCACCTTTATAGCATTTATCCCTTTTTCCTTTGTGTTACAGTTGTTTGTGTGAAGGGTTTAAACTCCGAAGGGTGAGTAATGGTTTTTATTATCATGCCATTATCTTGAGCCCCTAGCATAGTGTGCCTTGTTTATGGTAGAAACCCAATAAATGTTTGTTGAATGTTGTGTTTAGAAAACCAACAACAACAAACATGAATATCTTCCAATTACAAGAGAAGTTCCAAAATGTTAGGGATCTTTGTTTTGTTCACTGATTCAAGTTCCATGCAACTAGAAAGTTCCTGGCTCATAGCTGGCACTTAATAAATATTTGTTGAATGAATGGATAAGCATTATGACTTTCCAAAGATCTTGGACAGTATATATTTGATTGGTAAATAAAGAAAAGGAAATATGTCATATAATGTGTAAAGGAAGAAAAAGTAGATGTCTAATTTCTCTTTTCTCAAGACCAGGGATTGGCAAACTTTTTCTGTAGAAGGCCATAGAGTAAATAAGGTTTCGTGGGCCATATGGTTTCTATCGCAACTACTCAACTCTTCCACTGAGTGCAGATGCAGCCATAGATAATAGGTGAATAAATGAGTGTGGCTGTATTCCAATAAAACTTTATTTACAAAAATAGTTGGCAGGCAAGATTTGGCCTATGAGCAGTTTGCTGACTTCTGCTCTAGAACAACTGTGCAAGAATTATCTGCTAGAATTAAGATGACTAGGTAACTATTCCTTCCTTGAAGACCATGCTTTCTGTATCTTATACGTCCCCTAGCAGGTAGTACAGTGGTTTACTGTATGGTAGCTGTACAGTATGTTTGTTGAATTAAACTGATTCTTAACACTAACTGATTTCCTCAAACTGCAGTTTTCAGTAGAACCAATGAACTCAAATCCCTGTGATATGACTTTTCTTTGAACTCTCTCCTAGCAAAATGTGGGGGAAGTTAATAGCTGCTGAAATAATGTTTCCTGAAACTGAAGTCGTAATGGGGTTCCTTCTTTCTTGATTTAAAGAGTCCTGATTTCTCTTATTCAACGCATTTTCTTCAAGATGTCAGTGATTAACCAGAGGTAGCTCTTTTGATTATCCATAAAGATAAGAAATGATTAACATAACTTTCTCATTACCCATCTAAGCTAATACTTCTTTTGAAGCTGTCTCCCCTCTCAGTCTTTTTAAATAACTTATTTACATAAAAGGCATATGAGCAAATGACCACTGGTATCTACAATCAGAAAAAATGTGTTCCCACATTTTCCTCTCTAATGACCACCAAAATGTGATATTCCCATGAGTTTTGTGTTAAATTACTACATTATTTCAGGCCAGGAATCTGCTATGTATGGTAATAGTCTATATATTCAACACTGAAATGTATCAGTTTTAAAATGTTTAAGTAGTATTAATGTGGAAGAATGCCATCAGAAAATGTGCTTTGTGGCCCTATCCTATACTTGCACTATTTATTTGCAAAAATTTCAAACTTATTTCTCATTTTGCTAAATGTTGGCCTCTCTTACGAACTAGGCTTGCTTTCCTCTTCAGCTGCAAATGTAATTTTAAACAGAACTCCAGTGAGATTACTTGCTGAACATGTTAAACATTCATAGCTTTGCCTTATGCTGTTATGGAAATTGCATTGATTTATAGCAATTTGGGTGCCACTAGATAACACTGATTCACCTGATACCAAATATAACTGTATTGGGAAATAATGTTTTAAATGTTTCATCTGCATCTAGACCTCTGTTGAGCTAAGAGGCATGTACTGTGTTTATGTATTTCTGCAAAAAACTGACTTTTATATAGAAAAATACAGTTCTCCATTTGGCAACTTCTAGAAAAAAATAGTTATATGAGGACTAAATTTACACTGTAAAAGCACAGCAGTCAAGGACATAAATTACACGAGCCAGGCAGATTTAGGTTTTCATTCTGATTCAACCATTTAATTACTTTATAACCTTGCTTTCTTCAATGGTAGAAGAGGAAAAATAATGGTGCTAACCTGCCAGGATTGCTGTGATGATTAAATATGATAATGTACATAAGGCATGCAACGCCTACAAAAAGAACAACTTTATGTGGTCTGTTCTAATACATGCTCCATAATTACTATTTATTATCAGCTTTTGTAGCCTAAATCTTGCATTTCTGTTTAAGATAAGCAGAACTCCTTTAAATGGTGGAGAAATGCTTGAGTATATGGGACCTGATGAGAATGTTGGGAGATGATTTAGGAATTTAAAAATTGCCACGTGAGACAAGGTCACGACTATAGTCAATACACCAATTTATAAAAAACAAAAGTAAAAATGAACGAAGACACAGGATGTCCTCTTCACAGTAAGGGTATTGATAACTTGGCATAATTTTGTTAATTTCTGTTTGGGATGGAGTTAGTATAATGTTCATTTTAAGTATGCTAAGGAGGACTTATGGAAATGAGCACCATCTTTACATCCACTGAGCATTCTATCCTATTACATTCAGAGGGGGAAAGGAGCTTCTTAGAAATAATTATATTTGGCTGTAATAAGTGAATATATACAGTGTAATGAATATTCATATATATTAAAGTTTGTAAGAAGGGAAAAAAGCCGGAGAGCTTTAGCTTTTCTTCTTTTTTTTTAAATGGACTTGGAGTGCACATTTGAATACAGATGGATTCCCTCTCGGTCACTGTTCTCAATGGGGGGCAGTTTTGCTCTCCAGAGGACATTTGACAATGTCAGAAGACACTTTTGGATATCAGAACTTGAGATGGGGGATGCTACTGGCATCTAGTGAGCAGATTTTAGGGATACAACTAAACATCGTACAATGCCTAAAACAATCTCTATTATCTGGCCCAAAAAATCATCTTTGGGATTTAGTGCTAAGGAACCTTAAACTTATTGAATTCCCAGCTCTAGGCTAAGAGCCGTTCAGGGCTGAATGGGTTTAAAATCATTCATACCCCAGATGGACATTAGGTAGGCTCTAGGGAATGGCATGACTTTTGTCAATATGGTCAAATCTTCGCAGTATCTGTGTTGGTTTCATGGTCATAAACCATAAGCTGAAGTATGAGCATGGAGTTCACATCCTCAGGAAAAGAATGACTGGACATGCCAAGGCTATAGTTTACAAAGTACAATACATTAGTAGACCTACTGTGGACTTCATTGTTGACAGAGCCGGACTTACACATAAAGGAAGGAAACCATCACACTAAGACTTTGACCAACCAAGGGGCCAGGGGTTAAATGGCTCAGGATTTCTTAAGCAGTACCAATTCCCATCGACAAACAACACATTGAGCAACAATGGCACAGACTTAAGGTTTAGTTCTCAGGCAAAAATTTATAAGCACAATCTTTGGACTTTTGATCTCTATTTCCACAGAATTGAAAAGCTATTTCATATACCACGAAAAGCTTTTGTTTCACCAGTGCCCTTACATGAACACTGCAGGGGCTGCTTAAGAGGCTGTAGCCTTAAACATGGACAATGTTTACTGACTAAAGATGTATACAAAGAACATTACTTTGAAACTTTTGTTTCTGTACTTGGTGTCATCTTGTTGATGCTGAAGAGAATCTCTGTGAACTCTGTATTTAGAATATCTCCCATCAATTCTCTCGGATGAACTGCGGGTATCCTGGAAAAACAACACAGGGTCTGAATTGGTGAATAAAAGCAAAATCCGTGCTTGAAATTAGAATAAGAAAGTGTTGATACGTAGATATATAGGGGAACCATGGGTCACCATGGAAAAAGAGTAAAATGGTCACTGTGGATGTTACCATAAAAATAAAATGGGTCTCACATTGGGCATTTGGTTTCTTTTAACAACTCGTCCCTCTGCTTATCTGAAATGATTAAAATCCTTTAGAACAAGATTCAAGTAACAATGAGTTGTTCAAAGATCGTCATTAATGACGTGTCCGTTTTAGATGTTGTGTACCGTCTCTTGAAGTAGTACTTGATATCAAAATATTTTCTTTGTTAAAAAAGTGCTACCTTTAAAACTAAAGCCCTTTTACTTACTTATCTTTAAACAACATTCTACCTTTTAACTATTATGTCATGTAGATTCTTAAGGATATCTCCTCTGCCCTTATAAGAATAAAAAGATTCACATAATAAATTAAGACAGCAAAAATTTCCAGGGCCTGCCTTTCTTTCTTTATTCCCTTCATTTCTTGGGAGAAGGAGGAACACAGCAAACAGTTAGTTACCATAGCCAATTATTTAGACATTTCTGTTTTGATTTAGGGAGAAATTAGAATAAAATGAGGGCAACTGATTTTGGTATGTACAAAAAATCATCTATGGGATTTAGAACCCCAAATAGTCCCAAGGAACCTTAAACTTATTGAATGCTCAAGCTGGAAGGGGTATTAGAATTCCAAAGTTCTTATTTTTATTAAAAAAACAAATAAACAATACCCTAAAAACTAGAGCCCAGAGAAGTTAAGAATGGCTTGCCCAGGGCTAGACAATTTGTGGCTGATTGAGTTTGGAACCCAATGCTATTCCCTTTCCACCTTATCAAACGTGTAGTGTTTATAATATGGGATTCTAGAGTTGATCAACTACTTTCAAAATGAGGTGTGAGAGAGAGAATATGACTACATTTAAACAAGAATAAAGTCAAGCCTATCTAAATAGAATGAAGTCCATACTCACACTTACAGTCATAGGCTATAGAACTACCAAGAAATATATATGTGAAATAAATTTTCCCATATATGCTAGTGATGTCAGTGTGAGTAGGAACTATAGAGATAATATTGTACAATTCCCTCATTGTATGGTTGAGGACATAGCCTCTGAGACACTAGGCGATTTTGTCTGGTGCATGAGCTTGGACCAGAACTTAGGCCTTTGCATTTCTGTTCATAGCACGCTAAATTTTAGAAAGTTTGAAGGGTTTGAAAAAATATAATCTATATCTAATAATCTAAAGGCTTTATGTATTTTCATTTAAGGCTATGTCTATGTCTAGTCAATTTTATTAAATTGATTTAAATGAGCTCTTTTTAATCCTAGAGATGGCTTTAGAGTACACATTGATGGGTTTCAAGCTAAAGGCCGCAGGGCAAAGAAGATGGGCTTTGCTCTTGTACACAGAATTAGATCCTACTTCTAACTAATTTAACATACTCCAAACTTTGGGATTCTCATCTGTAAAATGGGGGGAAATACTGTCCATCTATAGGGTGTCTCTGAAGATTAGAAAAAAATGCAACATACAGTATTTAGCTACTGCTTGGCAGTACAATGTGTGCATAATTAAACCCTTTCCCTTTCCAAGCGAAAGGTTTCAATTTTAATGTATTGGAAAGTATAATTCTGAACTTTGAAAAATATTCTCTCTTAAAATTTCACTATTTAGGCATCTTCATATGTGAGTTTGTGTGTATATAAGTATATATATTGTAGACAATCACTAGCCCATAGGATAAAAAATAACGAGCCTTTTGGTATAGTAGAGAACATAGCTGTTAAATGGTACATATGAACATTTTGTTCAATGCAGACAACTGTGGAAAAAGTGATTTGTCACTAGAGTTAAACTTTGTATTTCTATACTGGTATAAAACAGGCATCTGTTTCACAGTGACAAGTGCTACCTGTTTCCAATACCTTCTCTTGTCTGTCCTTCATTTACTTAGATGACTTCTGTTAGTTGCAGAGAAAAAACTGGGAAGAATATGGGCATAACATATCACCCACTATCACATTGGGTTATATAATGACAAACAGAAATTACATCGTCTTGGACAGTGGTTTCATAATTCTTTGATAGAGATTTAAACTGCAAATATATAATCAAATCATAAGAAAGAGTCAACACTTTAGTAAAATACACTTGAAACATTGGTTTTGTTCTATATGTGATAGATTTCCAGATGTGTCAGCTCAACCCTGGATCTCACTCAGAAGTGTTTAGTTACTGAACTACCAAGAGATGCTTAATGCAAGGTAATTTTAAGATAGTGCAGACCTTGAGAACTACATCACAACACTTCCAATGAATCAATATGATTATGAGCTGGCTATATTCCTACCCCCTGTATCCTCAAATAATATGCTAGATTTAAACAGAACCTAAATATAACATAAGTTATATTTTAAGGCCAATGTGAAATAAGAGATTACATGGTTTCCAAAGGGAAACCCTCATCATTGTTAACTTCAGCCATGGAGGGTCAATAAATTATAAATCATTAAAATTTTACATGACATATGTATCCCTAAGGTGATATGTGAAGATGTTCCTTGGATCAGACTCTGTCTGGCAGGACTGGGCAGCAGGGTTATTTGCTTTGCAGCTCTCCTCTATTGAGGAACTTTAAAAATAACAGAAGGTAAATTCACACGTGTCTAATTGGCTTGATAAGGAAATACTTTGCGGTTAAAGATCTACCAACAGATGGCATGGAATATGAAATCTAAAATTCTATGTGGATTGAATTCATATGTCATAGTATAGGGATAACCTGTGAACTATCAGATCTTTAAAATAGTACTCAACAATTTGTAAAGAAGTTGACAATTCATAGATTAAAATTGCTAATCAAAAAAGTTATCTACTATCAATATAATGTGTAACTCCCTTTAATTCTTAGGTTTTTATAAATTATTACTAAAGCATTAGGGAGCCAAGTGAGCTTCTAGTGGTAAGGGTAAAACTCTCTACCTTCCTATATTGTGCTAATACGTAAGTTTCATTATTTTCAATCCTGACTTCACAAATAATGTCAATGAACTTTGATAAGATGGAGTGTTAAAAGTCCCCAGTGTTTTTTGGTACTTCTTCCCTCTCTATGCTTTTCTTTGCACATCAGGAAGATGTCAAGTATTCTCACTCAGATAAAAATACAGAAAGAGACAAGCCAACTCTTTCTCACTCTGAAGTCTTTGAAATCCTCTAGTAGGCTCAGTTTCTCAGGCACAGACTCCAGATGGTCCAAGGCCACTCGGGTACTCTGAAAAAGAAAACATAAGGAAACCAAACATTATAAAAAATTAATTAGTACTCTCAGAATTCAAATACCAAAAATCAGTTTAGTATAAGCAGTTCAAGCTGTAGCTTTAGAGTCAAATAAGAACAGATATAATAGTATTTCTAAGATAAATTTATCTTTTTAAATCAGAAGAATTATTTCCTCTCAAAAAGTATATGAGATGCATTTGCAAAACTGACTCAGATATAAAAACTCTTCCTGGATAATTGCTTTCAACTGATATGCTATGAAACTTTCTATAGAGCATTTCATATTAATTTACAAAACTGCTTCAGTGAACATCAGAAATAAAACCACAAGGTAATACTGAGAAATAGATGAATTTGCAGTTACTTTTGTATGGAGCCTATTAGAGATTCTCAAATGTTGCCATTATAAAGAAGAACAGAGTTCTCAGCAATTATTTTAATTAAAAAAGGAAAAGGGAACAGTTCTTAAAAGGCTCGGGAGAAATATATGAAGTTAAACATTTGTAACAGGGACACACAATCCTGTTGGTTATAAATCAATAGCTTATCATACTGTCTTTGATTAGCTGTCACTATTAAATCCACCAGTATAAACTTTAGGAGGGAACGATCAGAAAATTTAAAAACCAATGGGAAATAAGAGTTTCAATGGTAGAATAACCTTGAGACAAAGATTATATAGTGTGTATCATATGCATCTCTGTATTATTAGTCCTGTTACAGTTCCAGAACATATTAGGCAGGCAATAGATATTAGCTTTTAAATTTAAAATGAATTTTAACTGTTCAATCAAATAAATGACAAACCCAATGGCTGGTGCATTGGAAGATCATCTGCTCCCCTACATCTCCCATGTGAAAGGTTCTGAACAATGGACTCGAGTGTGTCACTTCTGGACTGAGACAAGAGTCTGCATGCCCTCTCTTCCCTGCCAACCCCTGCCATGAGAACCCTGAAGGCCACATGCTGCAGGTGGCATAACTGTAAGAGGAGAGGAGAGCCACCCACCATATTGGACTTCATGTGAGATATCAACCTCTATTGTGCTAAGCCATAAGATTTCAGGGTTTATTAGTTGCCAATGCATAATACAGCATTAATTATCACAAATACCTACACTGAGAATTAAATAATTAAAATGTAAGCTAATCAAGTAGTCAACTGGCTTTTTTTGCGGGGGTGGGGGAGGCTTTCAATTATGAGTATGTAAAAATTTTTTCTTGGAAGGAATTCGGTTTTCTTTCACTTAATCTTCCTATTTGAAATCTCCTATCTCCCCCTAGAGAGATGCTGGTCTATGCCTAGCATCTGCAATCCAGAGCCTCACTGAAGCAATCTGTCTAGAGCATATACTTTATGTCTCCTACAGGGATGGAGAAAGGGGGTTGCGAATCTAATTCTTCATTACAGACGCTTTCTATGTATCCATTTCTTCCACCTCCTTCTGCCGTAATTGTGCCAATTACTCCAATTCAAAAGCCTTTCCAGAATTCTGCAGGGTGAATGACATTTGCTTTCCATTGCTACCCCCTTGACAGGTAGCTGAGTTTCACCTTTTCTGTTCCAAGTCATTTTACCACTTTTCAATGTTCCATGACCTAGAGTTACAGATGTCTTCTAGTTTTGATACATGCAAATGAATGTTTCTATCTCTTATCTTTATTTTTGTAATGTGATTTTTGAGAAGGGCAGAAACACCTTGACTTTGCCACTTTGAAACAGAAAGTCATATGTGCTGTTTCTTCAAGTTCATAAAGTCTTCTTTTTCAGGGTCCATTTATAGGATTTAGTATTTTGTTCCTTCTGCTTAGCATTTATATTATTGTTAGTCTTTTGTCTGCATGTACTCACTTAAACTGCCACACATTTTAAATGACTTCATTTAATTTTTTCATGTATAGGAAAGATTCATCAAAATGACATGTTTCTTAATATAGGCCACAACTTGAAGGCTTTGGAGAGCAGGCAGTTTTAGCCACCAGGTATGCTACGTTTATTTAAATAATAAAATTACAGATTTTCTCAAGAATTATATTGGCCTGTAAGCAACAAAATACAAAGCAATGCCCTGATGATTTTAAAGCAAAATTTTATGCATTGAATAAAATCATCTTCATAAACACTCTAATAATAAAGTATTATTAGTACTTTCTTTTTTCATCCCATAATTTTTCTCATTCAAAAGTGATCCCTTGAACCTGGATTCAGTACGTTAAACTTATTTTGTTCTCAAAATAAGCAAATGTTCTCTTTTCCTACTGAAAAATCCAGAATTTTACGCAAATATTTTTGCTTAAATTTTTCAATCAACCTGGTGACTATACAGAACCATTTTTTTCTTGCACATGCTCACATGCTAGTTTTTTTACTATTTTATTATGTTTTTTAGGTATATATTCAAACAGCTACGTTTTTGTGAGTCAATCTTGAAAAACTCCTTGGCTCCTTCTTTCTTTTTTTTTTTTTTTGAGACGAGTCTCACTCTTTTCCCCGGGCTAGAGTGAGTGCCGTGGCGTCAGCCTAGCTCACAGCAACCTCAAACTCCTGGGCTCAAGCGATCCTCCTGCCTCAGCCTCCCAAGTAGCTGGGACTACAGGCATGCGCCACCATGCCCGGCTAATTTTTTTCTATATATTTTTAGTTGTCCAATTAATTTCTTTCTATTTTTAGTAGAGACGGGGTCTCGCTCTTGCTCAGGCTGGTCTCGAACTCCTGAGCTCAAACAATCCGCCCGCCTCGGCCTCCCAGAGAGCTAGGATTACAGGCGTGAGCCACCGCGCCTGGCCTCCTTCTTTCTTAAGTGCAGTTATTTTTACACTCCTCTCTCCCACGATTTCTTGCCTCTGTGTATCCATAAACTCATCTTTACACTGTCTCACCATTTATTTCACTTGTGGCTTATTTTATAATCCATTTATGTGTCGCTTCTAAATATCTTCCTCAATATTAGAAATACTTTTCTGGTACACAGGACTTTCTCTTACATTCTAGTCAATCAGTTACCAACAAATGTGTAGCTTAGATATTGTAGAAAGATCTACAAGACAAAGATAACATACTTCCTGTTCTTCAGGGACATTTAACTTACTGAGTGGAGAAATACGCATATACCAAAGACACCAGAATTATACAAAGAAAAAAGTTCACTTATCTTAAGGAAACTGCATGTACAAATGCTGAGATGTCTAGGGGATTGGCAACAATAAGATGTGAAGTAATGAAGACATTGCGTCTCGGCCTACAGGCATCTCAGATCTCATAACGTGATTTCATCAAGTGATATTTTGGGGAGTACACTTATTTTCTGGCTCTTCTCCTTCACCCCACCACTCACTGTTTGTATGTAAATGTGCTTAAACCACCACTTTGGCATATAGACTCAAGAATACACACAGCATTGCAACTTTTTTTTTTTTAAATGTGATATTGGCTGGGGTTCTGAGATTAGAATCTTGTCACACTACATGTCATTTCAAAATCACTTTTTCCCCAAAGCCACAATGTTAGAGAGATAAGATTCATCAGCCGATGAAGAGTCTAAAATAAGGAACTTGGATTTCAGAGAAGCCATGAAGACCTTTATCATGTTAGTTCCTAGGGTAAAATACCTTGTGTAGAGTCAGCGAAACTTTTTATTTTTTAAGTTGGTTAATTTTTTTCTACCTTACATTATCTAGTGCTTTAAAGGGCATGGACAAGTCTCCACTGTTAGAATTATGGGAGCAACATTCATTCTAATAATGGTACCAGCAAAATGACAGGTGCTTAACTGGTCTTTAATTTTCTTAACTCAGTTTTCTAGAATAAATAAGTCAGACGACCACAAAAAATTTAAAAAAATGTTTCTCCCTTGAAAATGTTCCAAGATACTAAATTTCATATCAAATTTCAAAACAAAGAAAAATTCACAAGTAAGACTGCATTTCATAAAGGGCCAACACATTGAGCATATTTGGTTTATCTCAGAGGCTTGAATAGCTGGACTTGCACCGGCCTAGAAGCAGTGGCAAAGCAGATGATCAGTTAATCGTAATCCTGTTTAATAACATAATGAAATAATGAACCGTAAAAATATAATTCTGTTTTGAATGCACTTCTTAATCCCTGGACCACCTTAGGAGGTACTATCATTATCACCATTATACAGATGAGGCACTGAGGACAACAGAGTGGCAAAACGGGTGCAAATCCAAGTAGTCTGAATGCAGAAATGGCAGTGTTCTTATTGCAAAAATATTTTCATGGCAAATCACCAGCTAAAAAGTAGCAGATAGCAGCCAGAAGCTGTAATAGTGAGCGCTTTATGTAAATGCCTAACCCCTCTCTAGCTATCAACTCTTACCAGCTAGATTTTGAAGATATGCCTTGATGGGCTGATTTCTGAAAGAGAAAATTTTAAGATGAAACCACGAAGAATTTCATCTCACCACTGCTGAAGAGTTTGTGTTCGGGACCACGTGTTCAAGCACACACATATACACACACAAAAGAGATATGAATAGTCTTTCTGCTGATTAGAGGATATTAACTGTGAGAAGAGGTTTATGATACTCATACCTTCTTTTCTTTTCTCGAAACATTTAGCACTAGTGTCGCATACTAATATGGCCTATAAGAGGTTCAGATAAATGTTGGTTGAATGAAGACAAAGGCAGAGTTACCATGTTCTAATAAACCCACTGAATCTTGACCTCTTTATTAAAAACCCAGAAGCATAGGTTTGCTGTTTCATTTATTTTCTCTAGACTAAGGGCAAAATCAAGTTTTGCGAAATTCACAAAACCTGTCTCGTGGCTTTTGCACCTACAGCTGTGTTCAGATATCTGTTGACAAGGGCAAGAATTAAGCTTCCAGTTTTACTATTCCCAAATCTTCAATATACACCAAACTCCTATAGAGTTGAGCTGTTTGTACTGGTCCACAGTACATTTTTCCTTAGTAGATCCTTTGTTTCTGACTACAGGGAAATTGAATAATATAGTATGACAACA